TCTTCAGGAAGACTTAAAAAACAGGTCATTTTAAGCATTTTAAACTAAGAACTGATGCTGTATTTTTTCTGGTACGGAGTCCTCCTTCACTGTACCTCCACTGTACAGTATGTGTGTTAGGAGTTAGAAATCTCAAAACCATACTTATTTACATTGATAGCCTCTACTACCAGTAAAAATGAAAGAGAGAAAACTAATTTTTTTTTTTATTTAAGTGACCAAATAGAGTTTTGGCTGAATCAAGTTTTGTTCTTTATGCTTACAATGTTCAGTGACAACATACTGCCTGGTTTAGACCAAACCAACAGTCTATGGTCCTCACAGTCCACATTCAATTTGTACATATTATTATAAAGATGCACACGACTTCTAGTAAATATAAGTGCGGATTTGTGTGGAGATCAGACTCCACATTTGCACACCATACTGTTTCTGACCTCCCCTCCCTCCCTCTCTCCCCTCCCCCCTAGTCATTTACATTTATATTGAATTAGAAGCCATGGTGGAGAGCAAGTGGAGGCAGCCGAGACTGATTATAATGGGAGATTACGGGCCGACTGCACCACCATTATGTTGTGTAATTACTAAGAGAGAGAGAGAGAGAGAAGAGGATGGGGCCCTTGGACACCCAGATGTCAGGATCTATTTCATTTAGGGAAATAATGTCTCTCTGCTTTTCCCTTCGCCTCTTCTACCTGTAAATATTATAGAGAGCTGAGTTCTACCCTCTTACGCCCATTTTTATGCTTCACAATTTATTGTACACAAATATGAAACAAGGCATTAAGGACGATATGTGGGTCCCCGTCATGTGATTTACCACCATGTCTCGATGCACTTTATTGCTTCATTTGACTGCATTGATCTGGTGTCGTAATGCATGTAGGATTACTGGCCATGCACTTGGGAACAGAACTAATGGGTTCAACATAATGACAGATGAAGATGTTGGAAAAGATCATCCATTGCGTTTCCCCTTACAAAGTACTTTAGTTGATAGATTTTAGAGGAAGTGACTGGTAATTCCTGTATTACAGGCATAGTAATAGCCAGGGGCGTATTGGTTAAAGATTAAGACATCACAGCGAACATAAATCAAATGTGTTTCCATATAAACAATTAAGGCACAATGAAATGAATTTTTTATTTTTTTTAATCATATTCACTATTTCTTAATGGCATTAGCAAATTCATGAACAATCCCTCACGAATTCCCAAAAGGAATTAAACATGAAACTGTCATCCGACTGGTTTACACTTTTGAATTATCCCTCATTACGCCTAATATCACCTAATATACTTTCAACAACAAATGCATCAAATTAAAGGTACAGCTATGAATTTGCCATTGATTTCATCTATGGTCAATGATTACCCTTCATCCTTCAGTATATATTTGTGAAGTGTAGACAACAGTACAACAACTGTGTCTGAGTGGAGTGAAATAACAGGCTGCAGTTTTCATTTACCTTAAAAGGTATAATTGGTTACCGTGGTGGGTTTTCTATATTTTAGAGGTTACAACTTTGCATGCCACCCACATTTCCCTCCAACACGATTCAGTTCTCATTATAGAAAAGGAAGGGGAGGCTTGAGTACCTCACCACATATGGTCAGATTGTCATCTTGAAATGCTGTTTTAATTGAGTCAAAACTGAGACCATTGTCTGCATCATTTTTTAATATTGCTGCTACCTTTGGGAATATGCTGTCATCGCTTCCATGTTTTGCTCTCATTGTCTAAACGATAGACGGTCCAAACATATTGTAGTCATAAATTATAAATTATAGTGACACCAGTCCAGTTGTTAAAGAGAGTTTTTTAGCCTGAAAAGACAAGGGTGATCATGAATATTATAATATGTTCTCATTAATGTGTATGCTGCAGACAAAGAATCAAATGAGTGAACACTGTCTTATAGAAAAGAATGTCAATTTCAGCCACACATCTTCCAAAACATCCATGAGTATTTAGCAGATGAGTACAATCTGCTGTACTTCCTGTGCAGTGAGAAAAAACTCCTGATAGCACACAGCACGGTTTTCTTTAATTTCATGTTTTAACCCCTTCATCAGACACACACAGCTTGGAGTCAGACTATTTTATACAGTGGATCCACACAAGTCTGCCCACAGGATGGTAGCAATGACCACAGTTAGGCCTTCAGATATTTAGCATGTACAGTCAGGTACTAACTGGTTGTCAGTCTGTAAGATCTAATAGACAGCGGGATAGTTGGTGATAGAAAAGATTGTGTGTGGGACAACATCTGTAACTAATAGATGTTTTTAATGCCATTTTAGGCATTTACGGGCACAGAGTGGGAATAGTAGCTTACTAATTCTGAGGGCCAATTTCACATTGTAGTCTGATAAAAAGGACTGTTTTTATTTACAAATTGTCACCAGCTTTGTTCTTATAGTAGGGTAACATGGGGTAAGCCAACTAGCAACTTCACTATCACAAAGTCTGAGGTAAGATTATGAGGTTATAAACTCACATATGCTCACATTTAAAGCTGGCAAGCGCACATTTTACCTCAGACTTTCTGGTAATGAAGTTCCTAGCAACCTCACTGTTTAAAAGTCTGAGAAATAAATTATATGAAAGCTAATAACATAAGGCAATGCAAGTTTATTATTAAAACATACTGTAGGTCTATAAGCTCCTTGTTTTTAACCAGCAACTTGTAGTTTATTTTATCTGTAATTTGCACGTATTAAAGTGATTTTACACCGGGGGGGTATCTTACCCCAGTGGAAAATGCCTTTTCCCTGAAAAATACATTTGATAAAATACTAATTAATTTGTTACAAAATTAATATTGAAAAATAGTGAAAATAGACATTGAGCTTGGGGGGGCATCTTACCCCAGTAGCTGGGAAAAATGACTTTCTGCTAAAACTTACATTTGACTAAATTCAAATTAATTTGTCAACTGTATATATTTGTTTTACTTTATATTATGTTACCCTAAGCATAGCCATCTCCAAGATACAAAAAACCCTATAAAATATTATTTTATGTGTCAGCAAACATTGAGCTTAGAGCTTTGAGCGTCTTACTACCCTATTTACAATAAAATGTTCTTCTTTCTTCTGCTTAGTTCATTGTGTTTTGCTTAAAAGAGCAAAACACAATGAACTGAGAGGAAACATTTTTGAGTAGAAGCAGAGTAATGATTTCGGGCACAACTTCACCTACTTCCAAGGTGCAAGGAGAAGGGAAAAGGTCTTTAGAGGTCAAAACTCCAGTAACACTTGTAGTACAACTTATTTTGAAACCAGCACATTTTGGTTTGTGGCATGCATCAGGGTCATCCATCAAACATGTTTGTTGTTCTTTAGGAAATATCTTTGAAAATGTCACTTTAATGATGATTGGGATCTCTTTATCTGTGTCACTGGTTGAGGAGGACATAATCGCCATTAGAATCCGCTATAGACCCTTCAGTGTTTGTTATACTGCACATAACCTGCTAGACAGCCAGATTGTCAATGTTGGTCCCAAACATAGCCAACAAACACTTTGAAATAAACAAAGCGGCAAAGCAAATGAGCCAGTCTGCCAGCACTCCTCTCAGTGGAGGTGACTGACTCATGATATGCTTGTATACATATTGTCCAATAAACTTAGGTGGGGTCTGCTCAACCTAAAATCTATGCTAACAGATGGTAGCATTAGGCTACCCTTAACTAAAGATAACAGGAATATTGTAATGTTTTCTTCACTGTGATGCATTTTCATTAGGCCTTAATCAGTCAGTTGCTTAAATCCTTAAATTAGTTCTCAAATTAATATGTCTATATAATAATGTGCTATTTCATTAATGCCCCCCTTCAGAGAGGTCAAAGGTCAGGATCAGACAAAGAGCAGCAGCCCTGCAGTTGGTTGTGTATGTGGTTAAACAGCTTTTAATGATTTTGATTTCCTCTGTTTCAGGTATAATAAAAAAGATCCATTTAAACAGTCAAGATAATGAGGACAATTCAGTCATTAAGCCAGCTATGATGTTTGAAGTTGTGCGGAGAAACTTAAACTTTGCGGATTTGGCAAGCATCATTATCATTAAATAATAAAAAGTTGATTCTGTGAAATGCTGATGATCGTATACAAGTGCCTCAGTGTAGCTTCTGAGGTGAGAGGTGATCATAGATAGATATACTGGAGACAGGTGACTCAGCCATGATCAGACTGTACAATGGCGCCACCAGGTGTTTAGTTTGTGCTACTGGTATTGCGTGGGGTCAAACAACATTTATTGTGACAGATATTCAGAAAATTTCTTGTAATGGGCCTGTTCTGTTGTTTCCAGCCTGGTCGGAGCTGCATTTGCTTTGGTTGGAGCCCTAACTGAATGCATTTATTTATTTAATTCCAACATAGAATTTGTACAATTTAAATGGCACAAATGTATGTATAATGTAACTAATGAATAAAGTGTTTGTAAATATGTAGCCATTAGCAACCAATAACCATAGACAGATGGATTGATTCATTTTAATATGATCATTTCTTGCTTTTATTTTAGTGAAACAGATGTGACAGGTAAGGGCAAGGAGCTGGTTTACACAATGAACCACTCCACAAATTCAGATGGAAAAAAAACAAACATTATACACACTTTAACTGGTAAATTTAATTCATTCAAAATAATCAAAGAAATGCACCATAGATTAAACAATATTAGTTACTGCAGCAGTGAAAGCAAGATGATCTAGCATTAAGAAATGACAACCACAACACATTCAATAGCAATCTGAAAAATTAAACCTAAACAATTCATTGAAAAATAATAAATAATAAACCAGCTATTTGTATGTAAGCAACTGTGAGCCTTTAAGTTAACATTACAGTATAGAAGTATCAATAGCATCAAACAGAGGCACTGTTAAACAGCGTTCATTGAAACAAATAATCACGACTACTCCTTAGTAACGGCCTTAAAACGACCCTTTTATTCTGAAAGCTGCTTTAGGACGAACAGGAAGTAAACAGTTTCCACACGCAGTTTCCGCCATGTATCCAGTTTGACGAGGTTTTGTTGTGCTGTTCACTCTGTGTGTTTTGTTCTTTTAATTGTAGCTAACGTTACTTCTGCTCTAGCTATGAGTGCAATTATTCCCCGGATAGAGCAGCTGTCTGCCAGAGTTGTTCGGGTTTTGGGCTGTAACCCGGGACCGATGACTCTGCAGGGAACCAACACCTACCTGGTCGGCACCGGGGAAAGGTGACACTTGTCAAGTTAACTTAAGATGTAAACAACATGGAGTTCACTGTAATATGTTTTGTATTTAAAAAATATCTGTGTTTGGAAACGACCATTTGGCAAAACTGGACAGTTAGGTTTGATGTCCGTGTAACGTTAGCCCTTAGCATACCCCCTGTGAGCTCGCGCAAAAGGACGTCACGCCAAATTCCATTAAAAGTTCTGTACGTTTAGTGTTTCCTTGCTTCTAGGCTAAAATACATTGCGTATAGACAAGACTGAAAATATATGTTGGATTTCCAGGATCCACTGGTTATTTCGGCATATACTCAATATAAGAAATACACGATATGGACAAAAATATTAGGACGCACCTCTTAAGCTTGAAACCAGGCGTTTCGTTCAGTTCTGCTCACTGCGACAGGTGTATGAAATAAAGCACTCAGCCACGCAGTCTGCCTTTACAAGCGTTTATGAAAGAATGGGTCGTTCTGAAGAGCTGAATTCGAGTGACATAACTTACTGTAGTTTCTTCACTGGGTATCGCACGAGCAACTGTACGTGGTACTGCAAAGTGGAAGAGTTTAGGAACCACAACGAAGCAAAGAGTGGCAGATCACCTAAAGCAAAGTCTATAAAGGCATGATTGGATGAGTTTGGTGTGAAATCTTGAGTGGCTCACATAGAGGACCTTTGTCCATATTGTGTATTAGTAATTTGGAGTGCTTTGTTAAAAAACATAATAAAAATTTTAAAATTCTCATGTTGGCAGTCTGGAAGTTATACATGAGTAAAAGTTTTGTTTTAACAGCGAATTCAATTAACACTTTTTAAAAATAAAAGTAAAGTGAAACTATAAAACCCAACTGGTCGAGGCAGATGGCTGCATGGCCACCATGCTGAGGTTAAGCTCAAAGTTTCTAACTTTAATGGGAGCTTTTCCTTGCCCCTGTCACCAAGTTCTTTGTCATGGTGGGAACTATTAGGTCTTTGTTAATAATATACAAAAGTACAGTCTAGACTGAGATAACTTCTGTTATGATTTGGCACTTCAAAAATAAAGTTGAATAAAAAAATAGTTAATAAATTAGCAGAATTGGTGTATATAAATACAGAGAGCTGCTTTTAAAGCCTGGCATGTGTGTATATAATGCGTGATTATTTTCCAGGCGTGTGCTGATAGACACTGGAGAACCTGCTGTACCTGAATATATCAGCAGTCTGAAACAGGCACTGAGACAGTTCAACACCAGCATCCAGGAGATCATCGTCACACACTGGCATCACGACCACACGGGTGGGGTGGAAGATATCTGCAGGGACATCACTGGTGAGGACATATGACCCCACAGTATTATTTGATTTGGAAATACGATTACAAAAACTTTAAAGGGTCAGTACACTTTTAAATCCGAGTTTTAAAATAATCCACATTTGAACTTCTTGGGGTGTGGTTGTCACAGCAGTACATTTGCAGTTGCAAAATAGTGTACAGGTCAGAAAAAGAGAGAATATTTAATCATTGTTTTCCCTCCTGTAGGTTCTGAGGTCCGAGTCAGCAAACTGCCTCGTGCCAGCCAAGTCAGAGAGAAAGCCGGAAACAAAAGCTTTACTTACCTGAAAGATGGAGATGTTGTGCAGACTGAGGGGGCCACACTCAGGTCAGTTCAGTTTTTGTGCAAGTTAAATATATATTTGTAAAGAGAGAGCATTTTAAACTGGCAGGACTTTTATTTTAAGAAATAAAAAAAAAAAAACTAAAAGAAGACAACAAGGATGTAAATAATATGCACTAGAACATAATTCAAAATAATCCATATTTTATGTAAAGCCTTTCTTAAGATGAAAATGTACAAAATGAGAAGAGAAGTGTGCCACAGCACAGCAAACGTGTATTCAGGGGTGGAAATTAACTTTTTGGCTCACCTGCCAAGGGAACTGGTAGATGAAAACATCTACCGGCCAAACATATTTTTACCAGCCAAAATAATAAATTGCCTTTTTTGTCGCATATACATTTGTTTCCATACTTTTAATTGAGATAATAAGTTATTATGTCAAATACAAATTTAAAGAAGAGACCAGAGTGAAACTTGAATTATATTATTGCTATCAAATGTACTTAAAACACAACAGTAAATTGTTTTAGAAACTTACAAGATGCTTATTAATCATTCAACTTAAATTTTATCTCTGCTCACACTTAATCATGCTTTATCATTCAACTTAAACTTCCCTCAGACTGCTGAGTCCTGGTCCTACAGCATCACAGCTTTTGTGGGATCTATATATATATATATATATTTTATAGTTTATGGATCATTCTCCTTGCTCTCTGGGACAGCATGACCAACAGAATAGCTTTGCCTTATTTCACGGGGGTATTGCGCCAATCTGCCGGCTCGCTGCACTTTGAACTTTGACCGTGGCGTGTGCGCGAGGTTGCCGAACAGTGCGCTGTGCTGCGCTTGTGCTTTGCTAGACGCAGCAACAAACCGCCGTGGCGCAGCGCAAGCCAATGAAAATAATGGGTTTCACAGCGCAGCGGTGCGGTCGTCGCAGTCTGTCTGAAAGGCCCAAAAGTTGGTGACGGGCACGAGACAGAAAGACAGAACCATCTGGTTGTGAAAAGCAACAGCCGACATGCCGCTGGTTCCTGTAAAGCTGGACCCCCATGTCAAAAGCGCACATGATCGCTGGGATAAAGGCCTTTTCACACGGGATAACGCTGCAAGCTTTTGTTCAGTATGGAGAAGCGAATGCGACACAAATGCGGATATTCTTTCTGCGCTGATTTACGTATGAAAGCCTCATTCTCCCCTCCCGACTCCTGTCGCCTGTCCCCTAACGCCCACCCGTTACAAATCTACGCCAATCAAACACAAGTAACCTCAAAAGAACATAAACAACCAATGAACGCCCTGAATCCGTGTGTTACACGGTTTTACTTACCTTTATTATATGCTGAATATATTTACCCAACAATGTGGCGGGTAGCCTTTCAACATTTGGCCGCCAAACTCCACCCACATTTGGCAGGTGGCGGGTGTTAATTTCCATCCCTGCGTGTATTTACTGGTTGAGGAGTATCACACTAATACCATAGGTAATGTCTGAATCTTGAGAGCCATGTTTTGTATTTTTCCCAGAGTGCTGTTCACCCCGGGCCACACTGATGACCACATGGCCTTGCTGCTGGAGGAGGAGCGGGTGCTCTTCTCTGGAGACTGCATCCTGGGCGAAGGCACCGCCGTGTTCGAGGATCTCTACAACTACATGAAGTCTCTGAAGATCTTGCTGGACTCTCAGGCCGACCTCATCTACCCCGGTGAGTGAGCACAGACTGGTATGTGGGATACACTATTTTATTTCTTGAAAGGCTCAGATGGGACAGTTGGGGGTTAACTGTCTTCCTAAAGGGCACCTATGAGATGAGGGAGTAATAATTGAGCGGCAAGTGCTGCTCTTTTACGTTAACACCCAGATTTATCTTGGAGTTTATCCTGGTCCATGGATCAAACCGGATACTTTCCAATCACACGTTTCATATTTCATGTTTTTCATCCCTTTTAATTTTAATTCTCACCATTTTTATAATATGCATCATTATACATGCATCAGTATAGGACTGAAATATTGATTATTTTCATAATTATAAATCTTATATAAATAACTATAAGTCTTTTTTAATTCATTGATTAATTAAAATATGACAAACAGTCCAAAACCCCGAAATATAAAAATCTACAATATCATCCTAAGAAAACAAGCAAGTCCTCCCCACCATACTGATGTATAGCACAGGGTCCATCAGTCAGTCTGACACTTCCTTGTAGGGTCATTCAGATATTTGGACAAAACCTCTGCTGCTGTTTTCTGTGCAGGCCACGGACCTGTGGTTCCGGATGCTGGCTCTAAGATCAGACACTACATCAGTCACCGGGACCAAAGAGAGCAGCAGATCCTGGCAGCCATTCAGGATGGAGCAGGAAAGCCTTTCTCCTCAATGGAGCTTGTCAAAATCGTTTACAAGGTCAGAAAAAAAAAAACAACGTTGTTAATTTGATGCTTTTTGCAGCCTGTAGTTAAGGGCTGCACCGTGTGCGTAGTGAAGCTAAGACTCTGGGAGCAGGCAGATGCAATGAAGAAGTTCCCTCAAAATACAGTATTAAGTACACATACTAAATTATGATACTGTAACTAGGATAAGTGTATGGAAGTAACCTGAAAATAGGCAGCCCACACACGAGGCACCCATCTGTATACGTGGAGGTGATCAAAGTAATCTGCTGTGATTGCTTGTGATGCTTCTCACTGCTTCACTTGCAGGACACCCCTGAATACCTGCACCAAGCAGCGAATGTGAACCTGGTCCATCACTTACAGAGACTGGAGAAAGAAGGCAAGATCAGCCTGGGTATGTCATCTACTACCACTGCCAAAAATACTGGGAGAATTTTAAGCATCAGTCTTGGCCAGTAGAAATAGACATATCTGGCAGTAGGTTTGGTATTAAGGTTAAGGGTCCATGACAATTGATTGCATGTGTTTTTATTAGGCTTTGCAGTCACTGACTGTTAGCTAAAATTCAAATGTAAACTGTTTTTTTTCCTCAGCACACAAATCTTCAGAGGACATCAAATGGAAGAGTAACCTGTGATGTCCACAGAGACAGAGAAGAAATGCACTCTTAATTGACCAGTGGGCCAACATAATGGAAATCCATCTGGCATAGTGTTTGTGGTTGAATGCCTTAATTCTGCTGATTGACAGATGTGTTAATGGAAATCAGGGATGGTGGTCACACTTGTTGCCTTGAATGTTTCCTGACTCAGGCTGTACAAAACAACAACAATCAACAGTCACATTCACCAGGACTGAGCTGCAGCTTGTGTCAAAGTTTAACAAGGCCATACAATGTCAGAAGGTCGGCTGAATTTTGACTGTGGAAGAATGGAAGACTAGTCCGATGCCACAATGTGATGAACGTGTCATAGTGCCCCCATCTGCCCGTATTCAGTTGCTCGTCTTTCTTTTCTTCTTCTAGAAGGCTTTTCCCTAATAACTTTGTTTGCTTGCGTATGTTGCGGAAAGTTATATCTGGCTTTGTCTTGATTGGGGAAAATGTTTTTTTTTTTCTTCAGGGATTTAGGCACACTTGTATGGAGGCACTTGGGTAAAGGAAGGTCAGTAGGAAGAAATACGGCTGAGAGTAGAACAATTCAAATGTTCCCAGAGACTGCTGTGAATTCAACCAGTCACTAGGTGGCAGTATTTAATAATACATTTATTGGGAGATAACTTAAACAGTAAATTGCAATTTAACAACATATGCCAAACATTACAAATTTTTGGAATTTGTTAAAAATAAAACATCTAAAGAATCAGAATTATAAAACGTTATTGTCATTGCACCAATAGTACAACGTGATCTACTGTGAGGTGCTGTTGTATTTTTCTTGCCACGAAAAATAATCTTTTTGCTCATGGTAATGTTTATATAGCAACTGTACAACTTATGAATACTGAAGTTTACCACTTAAAAACAGCTTTGAAAGGCTGAATATATTCTCAGCTATATTTTGTTCCAATATTCCTCTGAGTAATATCCAGATCTTTTGCATGAACCTTTGAGCCCTTTAGTGAGTCTCATCTGTTTCATATTGACTAACCACTCTCATGTAATCTGACTGTTGGGGGAAGAACATGTTTCTGTATCTAAGATTTTCTACAAAAACTGCTTATTTTGGAGCAGACTGTGGTGATTTTACTGAAATCAACTTCACCACTTGAAAATAACTAACTACAGTGCATGGATCATGCAGCACATTGGAAGGACACTGCTGGTCTACATGTTGAAAACAAACATCACTGAACTTAACCAGAATGGAGCAGAAACACTATAAGGTGCTGTTAGCCTACCAAAGTACAGAGACAAGTTTCAATTGTGGAAGTAGAGGACAAATGCCAATGTAAACTGTAGAACATGAAACTATGTTACAGTGATAGTAATGGTATACACTAAACACTGCTGGAAGGTTATTATTCTCCTGTGATTTGCACAGACACTGTAAAGCATGTGATATTTGATTTTTTGGGTCCTTTTAACATATGGCCATGGTTACTGATAAAAAATTTACCTTGTAGACAAGATCTGGTCATCTATAGTATTTATGTTGATCAGGGAGCAATGAACTAGTTCATAAATTAAGTTTTGACTTTCAATGACTAGATAAGGTATGTTGGGTGAAAATAGCATTAGAAATACTATTTCCTTTAGAAAAAGGTAAGTATATTGACAATAATAGGGTCAAATACACATTTGAAGTTGTATTACAATGTCACAGGAAATTAAAACATCAAAAGGTTCCTTAAAATCCCTGTATAGACACTGCTGAGATCTCAAATTAATATACTGTAAATTACACAAAATATTTGAATGTGAAATAGCACTGAAATAAAAACGCAAGTAGAAAATGGTCGTTATTAACTATTGAGAACAACATAACATTGTAGAAGTAAGACTTAATATTGCACCTTGAAGCATTCACTGCCAAATTGGCACATAGTAATGTGACCTAAAAGTAATTCAGTTTTAAAAAAGAATATTGATTTTATTTCTAATTATTATCTTCCAAAGTGTCACAAATAAAAACATTTTTGCCCAGTTTGCCCAGGTGCAAATGGCAGAGAGATACCCAGCTCTGCGGTGTGGTAATGAGATGAGTGGAGGTTAGGTTGGGTTGGGTTGGAGGGGGGGGTGGGGGGACTACTGGTAAAGATAAACAGCCGAGGAGCCTCTGAGCCAGAGGAACATGGCGGCTCCGGCCCTGGACGCCGCTGCCGCTCCGTCCCGCTGACCCGACAACGACGGACACATCCCGCACAGCGCGCACCCATGGCTTCTCAACTCTCAGGTAAGTTTCCTGTCATTCGCTTGACCCCCCCAACCCTCCCCTTCCCCACCAACCCCTCTCACTCAACCCCATCTGACAAAAAGTAAACCATACATCGCTTATATTCCTGTGTAGTGTCCGTATCAATTATACCAACACTATCATACTTTATGGTGCAGTTTTCCTTCTTACTAGCGCCGTGGCATCACCATTGTGATACTTATATTGGGTCATGAAAACATATTATAGGGTTAACTACTTGAGTCCGGGAAATAGCGTAAGAACCGACCGGTAACTATCGCGCAGGTTATTTTCAGTGCCCGCGGTGTCTTATATGAATTGTACATATTAGGACTTCAAAGTTGAAATGACCGACTGATAGCTATAAGTAACGTTAACTAAGCGGGTTTTAGGCGAAATTCTCGCTAGCTAGACTAATAAAAATGCTACTTTCAGCCGGTTATCTGTCAAATCCGCTGTCAGGTCTCACGTCTTTGGTAAAGTAACGTTAAAGGCTGGTCTGCTGGTGTTTGTTTAACGTGTTCAAACACTGTGTGATAACTGCACAAATATCCCAAACGGGACTTTGCTGTTTCACAGTTAGCTGTTAAACCCCCTTCCTGATCAACAGACGCGACAACTGCTTTCTTATGTGAACCATGAACGCCCCCTAGGTTAGATACAATGAAGGTGGCCTTTTTCTGTTGTTAAAGTAGAATTTCACGGCACCAAATTTAAAGCCTTGGTTGATTTTTACAGGCGTTTATGTGACTATGGTAAACATATATAATAAACATTTTGAGTTATTCTTGATATTGCTCGGACTTCCTCAATCAACTCAAGCATCAAGTACCATAAGTAGGTACAGCCGTAAGCTTCCGATTGTCTTTTTCAAAATAAAACATTCAGATTGGCGCGTTAATTCTTTAAAATTACAATACATTATATTAAGTTGCGTATTGATAGGTAATTAAAATGTGTAGTTTCCAATGTACTACTATTTAGCATTTTATAACATGTGAACATGTCAAATAGCATGCCATTTTCAATTCAAAAGGCATGTACAGAGTTCCAGCCAAATAAATACTATTTGTGGACAAGCAACATGAATTTCCAACCTACCCCTATTCATTTTTCAATAAGTCATTCAAGTATTTCTTAAAGGAGCCCAAAGTCTGTATGTGTTTTAAGATGTATGGCCCTAGGAAACTGTGAACTAAAAAGGATGAGTGCCTTGTGTGGCAGCTGGTTAAAAGCTTAATGTGTATGCTCTTACTCTTATCAGCCAATTTCCACACTAAAACGTGTGTATCATTTGTACTGCTGAGCATCCACATGTCTTTCAAAATTTCCCACACTAACCTATCACATTCTGATCTGTCACGTATCAAAATGAATCCCACTGCCCAAAAGCATATACATTATGGATGGACCACGTTGTGCTTTTTGTGCCGGGGCCTGAAATCCTCCTCCTCCCGGCGGTCCAAAACGCCTCTGCTAAAGGTGGAAACACTCCCCAGGTGCTCTGAGTTCCCAGACTGGGCAGACTCAGCAAATAGGGCCGCTACTAGCTGAACTGCTAGCTGAGCCACCCAGCTAATGGCAGCTACATTAATCACTTACTCTGGTGATATGCTGTACCCTATTTCTTTATAGTATGAATTCGACAGGTGGCCAAAATCTTGAAATCTTACACATTGTACCTGTAAACCTTATTGCACAGCCTGGTAGGCATTTGCCAGTGCAGGTTCAGGAATGTTTCCTTATTTGCTGTTGTGCTGTTTTTTCTGTGTTTGCTGTTGTGCTGGTATGTTACTGTACAGAACCTGTAAGTTTGCCTACGTGACAGGTACCGTCTGACTTCTGTGGAGGTGTTATCTTTGAGGGCTGAATTCACGAGTTTTTGGCTCTTAAGAGCTTATTTGCTATTACATGCACCACAAAGTGAACTTTGAAAAGAATTGCAACATGAAAACCAAGTTGCCAGGTTCTATATTTATCCCCCCTTCTCTGGGAGATCATTGATGTGGTCTGTTTTTGTTTTTTAAAAAAAATTTAATTAAAGGGTTTAGGGCGTTTTCATGCTCTTGACGCATCTACACAGAGTTTAGTAAATGAAACAAACATTGTGTATGCTTGTTTAATCTGTTTGGTGATCGACCTGGATTTGTTTCTATGTTACTGCTTTATTATAATTTGATGTACCAGGCTAGTGATGTGTCTGGTTAACAGCATGCTTCAATACTTATAATGCCAAAACTACCGTAGAGGCTAGTGCTGCAGCAAGAGTGCAGGAATGTATTTAAGACCAAGATCTTAACATGAGATTGGCAGCTTGCCCAGTGAGGGATTCTCAGTGGCTTGAATTCACTAAACCACGTGAGCGCTCAAATAATGCCCTGACCAATGACAACAGCAGCAGCAGGAGGAGGAGGAGGAGGAGGAGGAGGAAGGGCAGAGGCTTGACTGTGCAGTTCTCCATAGCAGGTTCTCTACCAGGTCTTATCCTCAGCAAGCAAATACATGCTAAAGAAACACTGCTCCTTTTAAACCATCATCCAAAAAGTCCTTGCTCTGACATGCTTCTTCTAGTCCCTGATTAAAAATAACTCTTAAAATTTCAATGATTGCCTTGACTCGGATTCATGTTAATCTTTTGAATCAGATGGACAGAATGTCCTTACAAATGAAGGTAGTGGCAAAACAATGGAGGCTGCATGAAAACCTCTCCAAAATGCAACATTGGATGCCCTGTCCTCTGTCTGATGTTGCTTCACTTGGCTGTTGGTATACAGTAGGGCTGCAACTAATGAATGTTTTCACTGTTGATTATTTTCTCAATTTATTGATTAACTGTTTGGCCTATTAAATGTCCAAAAATGGTGGAGGATGTCCATCGGTGTTTCCCAAATCCCAAGATGACGTCGCAACCCAAATAAATTCAGTTTAGTGTCGTAGAGGAGTAAACTAGAAAATATTCACATTTATTCAGAGAATTATTACTTTTTTTTTTTTTACAAAATGACAAAAGATTAATAAATTATGAATAGTAAATAGTTATATATATATATAAATAGAATAAATAGTTGGCTATTAATTTAATAGTTGGTGATTTAACTGGTTGATTAATCATCGCAGCTCTCGTATGCAGTGAAAAAATAGACACTGACCAGGAAATATTAATGTAAACATTTGCTAATGTAATGAAGTTAGATAACACAGGCTCTGTCAAGTCGAGACCTCGTGTTTTAATTTTAGTTTCCTGATCCCCACTCTGCTGGTTAATCTTTACATTTACTGGTAACCCAGTTGTGTAAGTAGGGGTCTGTGCTTGTCTCCTCATCTGTGTTTGTTTATGTCTGGCTCTTCTCACTGCCACCAACTTATCACACACACACACACACACACACACACACAGCCACCTGGCTTTCTGTCACGTACCAGAGACAGTTGTCTTCTAGGTCTGATCCTCCTGAGACCAAGTGCTCTAATTAAACAGACACACACACACACACACACACACAGCCATGTCATGACTCCTCTAAAAGCCTCCTGTAGTGCCTAAACACCATGATTACTGTAATATTCCCTCAGTGAAATTTATCTACAGGATGTGCTATATAGGAACACATTTCCTCTCTAAACAGCATTACTTGGGCTCACAGGTTTTTTAAATACATATTTTCAAAAATGTTTGAAAAATGTCAGTTAACAGAGTTTTACTTTAGTTTAAAGTGTTATTTCTGTGACTCAGATGTAATCATCAATTCAAAGTCTTGATTACGTGTGAGGTTCAACATGGGGCTGACTAATATCACGACAGATATTCTAAAAGCACTTTTGTTTTTGTAATTTGAATATTTTATTAGTCTTACACTCAACGTTTTTGAAAACAGCTGCCACATATTCCAGCGGTCTGTATGGTTCGGGATGATTTGCTGTGCCTTTCAGACAAAGCTATTTGTTGATCTCCAGTCATGATTTAAAGCACACAAGAGGCGCCAAACAAAGCACAGAGGTTTTATTTCATCTTACCAAAGTCTTTTGTTTCTTCAAAGCCCGTCAGAGGAGGAGAAGCGCTCTCGCACTTCAAACACAGCAGCAGCACGAATATCACTGCTCACCTAGTACGCCATGTGATGCAGT